AATCGATAAAAATACCAGCTTATCTTATCTCCACACTCAGCTAAGAAAGTTGATTCAAATTAACAAACAGAATTCAAGAGTTGAGAATTCTGAGAAAATATCTGTAATAATGGAAAATATAAATCAGAAACTAATGGAAAGAACAGTCAAAAGCCTAGACAGATTAAAACTAAAATATTACTCCAAAGGTAACAGAGCTGATAAATTGCTATCTCAAAAACTCAGAAAACAAAAGGGTTTAAATAAGGTGGATAGACTAATAAATAATGGAATAACAGCAGTAACTTCCAAAGGTATAGGACAACAATTTAACGACTTTTATAGCAAATTATATAACATACCTCAAACTATGACAGTCAAAAATATTAAAAAATATTTTGAAAAAATGAATAAATTCCAGTTAACAGAATCGGAGAGAGAAGCAGTAAATAAAGATATAACTATGGATGAAATAATGAAGGTTATAAGCAACTTGGAAAAGTCTAAGACCCTGGGTCCAGATGGATTCAGCAATTTATTTTATAAAACATTTAAAGAGCTAATTTGCCCTCATCTGACCAATACTTTAAACAGTGCTGCTAATAGAGGACTCCTCCCAGCTGAGATGTTAAAAGCCAATATCCTACCAATTTTTAAACAGAATAAAAACCTTACTGACATTAAGATTGATCGTCCAATATCTTTTATAGATGTTGACACTAAATTGTATGCCTCAGTTTTGGCTGCTAGAGTCAAGAAACTTTTACCATTGATTATACATCAAGATCAAATAGGATACGTCCCAGGCAGAAATTCCTATACCAGTATCAGGAAAATTATCAACGTCCTAGATGATGCTAAAACTAATAAGGTCCCAGTTTTGGCTCTGTCGATTGATGCTGAAAAAGCATTCGATAGAGTCAACTGGAATTACCTAGAAGCTGCATTGTCGCATTATGGCCTTGATGGCTGGATTAAGAAAGCCATTATGGCCCTTTATGTGAATCCATTGGTGCGCACTAAAGGACCGAACATTACTGCCCCATGGTTCCAACTAAGAAATGGGACACGTCAGGGGTGTCCGCTTTCACCATTATTGTGTTTGCTCTCTATTGACCCATTAGCTGAAAACATTAGAAACAATAAAAAGATCAATGGCTATAAAACAGCTGACATAGATCAGAAAATATGCTTATATGCCGATGATATCCTAATCACAATAACCAATCCTAGTACTTCATTAGACTCTCTAATGTTAGAAATTACCAGTTATAATCAAATATCTAATTATAAATTAAATACAAATAAATCCATGATTTTAGATATCAATCTGGATAAGAAAACTCAAAATGAGATTAAAGATAGATATAATATTCTATGGGTTGAAAATAGTATGCATTATTTGGGGGTCAAATTGACCAGAGATGTAAATAAAATTATGGAGACAAATTTCTTAGATTTATTACAAAATCTTAATAAATGGCTAAAAGATCGTTGAAATTTAGAAATAACTTTCTGGGAAAGAATAAATGTGATCAATTCATATGTTATCCCAAAATGGAACTATATGTTCCAGATGTTGCCATTATATATTTCCAATTATTGGTTGGAGCTGATACAGAAAGGCTTCACCCAATATATTTGGAAAGGTAAGAAACCAAGACTGAGTCAGTCAACATTAATACAAAAATTAAGTAGAGGAGGATTAGCCTAGCCCTTAATATTAAATAGTTATAGAGCAGCTACAATTTTACACATTTACAGGATGCAAATAGAAGATAATAAAAACGAAGGATGGTATAAGATGGAACTTACTGCAGGAGGAGTCCCCAGTTTGTACTGTTTAATCTGGAACACTATTAAATCTCATAAAAGAGAATACTCCAATACAATTTTAACACATTTATTAAATAGTTGGTTTAAAATAAAAAATGTATTAAAAATTCAAAATACAGTCCCAAGCTATCTAGAGCTGAATTTTGTTGAACAACAGGTCGAGGATATAAATCGTAATAATTGGAAACAGGCAGGAATTGTATGGCTGGCTCAGCTATTGGTAGAGGGAACAATTAAAACCTTCGTTCAATTAATACAGGAGTATAGCCTACCATCAAAGGAGCTGTTTAATTTTTTGAGACTTAAAAGTTTTTCGATGACTCGTTTAATTGTATCAAAATCTAGTTTAAGCAACATGATCAACATATTATTTAGTTCATATAGAATAACTAAACTGCTCTCTAAAGCTTTGCTATTAAGTAAAATGTGCAATAAAGAAAAAATACCAATAGCTATAGCTGCCTGAAAGGAAGAACTAAACATAGACATAGATATCAAGCATTGGGGTTCTTCACTGGTGGAAGTTTCGAAGACTATACATTCACTAAATCTACTAGAAACCCACTTCAAGGTTTTAAATAGATGGTACTTAGTACCAGATAAATTGAGCAAAATGTACCCCACAATAAATCACCTATGTTGGAGATACGGCTTAGTTACAGGCACTTTTAAGCATATATGGTGGGAGTGCCATAAATTGAACAACTTGTGATCTAAAATCCAAAGGTTTATATCTGCAGATCTGAACCTTGGGTTGAGGCTCTCCCCAGAGGTTGTCCGGCTTCACTTAAACTGGCCGGCAATGGCGTATGAGCTGAAAATTATTCTTACTCATCTCTTTTTAGCTGCCAAAATTGTGATTGCGAGATGTTGGAAAAACGATATGGACGTCCCTTGGGAGAAAGTTAGAGCTCAGCTTAAGTTCCAGATCAAAATGGAATTAATGATGAATAAACAAAAATTAAGTAAAAAAGTAACTGTTTGGATGAAGTGTTGGGAGTGGATAAATAAATAGAGCTTCCAGTAAATAAGGTGTCTGTCAAAACTAATTTCATTATAAATTTAAAGTAAAACATTGCTAGATCATTTATACTTTGGATAATATAAGATACATAGTCTTGCTCGACCTGCGACCTTGTATTTGTAGATATGTAAGTTAAATATATTGTGTTGTTTTTGGTTAGTGAAATGTGTAAGGAAAATTTACACTGCTATATTCCTCAAATTGAAGAAATGTTTCCTTGCATTAGTATTGTTTTTATAGAAACATTTTCAAATAAAGATCATTTAAAAAAAAATACATTCTATGAATTGACATTTTTTTCTGTGAATTGCGTTTTTATTAATATTTTCTTCAAACTTCTCGATACTTGTTAAGTCGCCATAAAGAGGTAGGACTCACAGGTCCTTGGCATGCAAATCTACGTCAACCAGTTAGCCACGCAAGGCTACGAGAGGCAAATCAAACAGTTAAGGGAAAAACATTCTCAACTGTGCACCATATATATCGGGAAGGTTGCATACCCACAAATATGTCGAATCAAAGTGTAGCAAATTGTATTTACATGTTATTGGTAATATCATGATGTAGTCTATGGTATCTCGTAATAGCGTACCATTAGTAGTGTTCAATTTATCTTGAATTAGTAACTCCTATGTTCAGCTTCCCTACCACAGTTGTGCCCCCTAGCACTGCAGTCTATCCGCCCGTCTGGATGGTTCTCATGTGTGTCCCTCCTCCCGCCTCTCCCTTCACCCCTGGTTTGTGATGGTATAGGCATGGGCAGCGTGCCAGGGTGTAGGAGCTTCGTTCATCCTCCTGGGTAGGCCAGCGACCCGAGGTTCCTGTCTACATCTGGGTTAATGCCTGGGTGTTTTCTTCCCCACTCCCCCTGTCAGCCCCCTGTCGGCCATATGTCAGCATGCTTCGCAAATCTGGGCGGTATGCTTTTACTATCTAAAGTGTCCGTATATCTAGGTATGTTTGTGAGCAGCCCTGAGCTGTAAACGTCAAGTCTAGTAAACGTCCAGTCCTCGCAGTTCCTCCATTTTCTCAAACCAGGTCGTTAACGGAGGGGGTGTGTTTGTCTTCCAATATAAGGGCAAGATATGTTTTGCTGTGTTCAGTATCCGTATAGTCAGGGATTTTCTAATGAATTGACATTTTACGTGTTATGATGTAGCGACTATATTTATAAGAGTTAAAGTGTTAGTACAAGAAGTGTGAATTGCTAGGGGTCATCGTTCCCCTACGTGCGGACAATCCAGGGGTCTCGTTTGGTGGACTGGGAGGGCCTGGTCTTTAGTACAATATGGGTCAGGAATTCTGGGGTTAAACGCATTTGATGAGGCTGTGTAGAACTATTATCCCATGATTTTGTTAAATGGCGGGGGTGGGGAATAGATCTTTGGTTAGATAATCCCTCGAGCTGAGGGTGGTGAAGGCATTGGAGTTATGTTACCAACAATAATGCAATAAAATGATGAAAAGAAGAAAAAATAGTGATACATTTAAAGAATAGAAAACTGAGAACTGAGCACTAAACACGTGAATGGGTAATGGTATTGATATTGCACCCCGGTGTGGTCACCAATACTCCAGGTTGTTCAAGTAATGTTTGCTGCAGTGAGGTCTGGCGTGGACCCTCAAGGGACACATGTTGTCACTGTAGCTGGATTACATCTGTGTGGGGCTTGCTCTGCTGCTCCATGCCATGTTGTTGCCAGAGAGTCCTGAGGTAGGCCCAGATTGGCCAGAAGTACCTTTGCTTCTCTGATGTCATGTATCTCATATTTATCATTGTCCTTTAGTACCTGGAGCTTGTGTGCCATTCACCAGCGATATTGCACCTTATGGTGTCTGAACAGAGCTGTGAAGGGTGCCAGCATTCTTCTCCATGCCAAGGTATAACCTGAAAGATATGCATAAAACGTGAGGTGCATTGCTTCAAAGTTGTAAGGTGTGCAGTCTTTTACCGCTGTCATTATTGCATTTCTTCCACTCAGGAGGTGGACCCCCAGGGCCCAGGGGGTCTCTCTTGGAGCTTTGGGTGATTTGGGAATACAGAAGAATCCTTCCAGACCCACAGCCTTACCCTGTCTTGGGAGCAGCAAGTCAGTAAATAGATGCTGAAGGAGGTGAGGTATCTCAGCTGCCTGCACTTCCTCCCTAATGCCTCTTATTTTCACATTTGTTCTGCGCCTCGTGTCTTCCACATCTGCAAAGTGTTGGTCATATGTTTTACCTTCCTCCGTTGTAGGGAGGTAATTTGCAGGGCTTGCTCCCCAGTGTTTGTTATCCTGTTTGATAGGCCTTTAAGGTCCTCGCAGATCTTTGCTTTGTCCACCAATGTGGTGTTCTGGAGGCCTGCTAGGAGTGTTGTTAGGACCTCAGTGGTTATTGGGGCAGAGTCAGAGCCTGCAGAGGCCGATTTTGTGGGCTGTGATGTGGGCATTTCATCCACCTCATCCTCGAGTAAGAAGTCGTCAGATATCTCCGAGTAAGTCTTGGGGTAGTTGGCCATCTAAGTTTTCAATGTGCAGGTCCGGCCGTGGCTTGTCAGGCTTTAATTTCTTGTTTTTTCAGCCCAGCATGTTGCCTGAGTGTCCGGGGTAAAGTGAGGTTTTGGGTTCCAAATGGGGTGTATATATCTCCAAATGCCTTGAGCTCTCATCAAAGGTGTCTGCTCAGCTCAGTTGCTTGGCTGAGCTTCTCCTCCCCTCCCCCCGCAATTTTTTTTTTTTATGTAGTTTGATTTATATACATTTTGGGTAAATTTTGATTTGTCTGAATTCCATAAACACCATATGAATGAATTACAAAACAAACAAAATTAGCAATGGACAAGCTGATTCATTTGTTTTGTGATTCAGAGTATACTAATAAGTGCATTTTTATGTAATTTTAGTTCGTCCGCTTCTTTTTTACAGAAATTGTTGTATGGGGAAATTTGTCCAAACTAAAACACCACATGGACAAAATTTGAACCAACTGAAACAATTTCTTTTTCTTTTTTGGACTAACCAAATTTTTCTGCCATGCACAAGTTTAGTTTACACTATCCTGAAAACACAAGCAATGCTAACTTAATAAAGAAAACATAATTTTATAAATCAGTCTTGGAAAAAATTATTATTTTAAATGTAGAGTTTGATAGAGTAATTTATCTTAAATATTGGTAGCTGCAATAAAAAAATGCATATGCAATCACTGGAGTCATCGAGATTGATTAGGCAATAAATTGGGCAGTTCATAAACATAGGGAATCTTAGACTATATATCGTGGATTATGCTTGGATGGACCTTTTTTTTTGTAGTTCAGGACTTTGCATGCCATTAGAATGACAAAACATAATGGAAGCTTAGTTTTAAAACATGTGGGGATCTACCTTTTGTGTACCCCTAAAACAGACCATATCCTGTAAGATTTAAAAAAATTGCATTTAATTTAAGCAAGTTAATAATTTAAAGTCAAATCTTTAGTACAACTAGAACAATGTTTAGACACGCCTGTCATGTCCATAAAGGGATACCATATCATTTGTTAATGACAGATGCAGCAAAATAAGTGAAATTGTAACGATGATGCCATTTATAAAGCTGGTACAACTGGATAGTCATTTAATGGAGACATTAAATCAGTTGATATTGTTTATATACAAGTTCATCGAATAGTTAGTCAAGCTGATGAAGACCATGTCAATGTTTCCTAAACATTGGAATTGTATATAAGTAAATTACTGAATGAACGGAAGCAATGGAAAATGAAGATGCAAAGTGTATGATATAAAAATGGGAGCCAAGGGGTTAATGAACATTTCACGCAAATGTTTGTTTTGTTTGAAGTACTCTCTGTTCACGTTTGGCAGTTGAAGCTTAACAGCCATTGTTTTAACTGTTTACTCACATTACTATTTCAGTTTCAAATTTATATCAAATGAAAGGAAAACACGCTATGTGGACACAGACGACAGGATGAGACTATTGTACTATAAGCACCTTGGCAAAGCAAGAGAAGCAGGTGTCAGCCTCTGAGTATATCAACAGGCATGGTATAACAAGGCAGAATTTACATCTGTCAGTTTCACAGTCATTAGTACTTATTCATAATTCATTCATAACTTCTACTGTCAAGTATCTCAATATTTCAAGCACAAGGGATTCTGGGTAAGCAGACAGATTTACTCAAACATACACTGTCTAGCAATAACAGGGAATACAGTACTTACGTGAAGAGCAGCACATTTATTTCAGATCGTGAATGGTGCTTTTATTAAAGCGTAATAATGCAAAATATGAAATAAGTTTGCTTGGAAAAGCATTTGCTTTTTACTTATACTAAATTAAATGCATTAAAACAAAAAATGACATTAGGTAGTAAGAGAAACTCCTATATATGTCTACCATATGATAGACAAAAACTTTTCCATACAGACCTAGCTGTTGAATTTCACATTCATGTTTCTAACTTCTTTTTAAATGATTTTCAAGTGCATGGGCATTGCTTGGGGGGAGCCTGATAGCGACTGTAGCCCCGAGGTCATGAGAAGTCCTGGGTCGCATTTTGGTATAATTTCATTATTGGCTTTGAGTCCCATGTAATAGTGAGATATAAATAACAACTCCAATTACATTATTCGTGACAGCGTCACCTTGATGCACTCTGAAATAAATTATACAGCACAGAGTGGTATTGCTACTATTCGGTGTCACAATTTAATTTATAAGACATGTTGGGGTTAAGGTTGATTTAGGATATGAAATAGGGCTGGTTTAAGGGGATAATTTAACCAATATATAACATGGATAATAATTTTCAGTTTGGCTATAGCTTGGCCTAAAATTTTAAGTTCACTTTGAATTTCCAACACGTTTCGCTTTACCGAATAACATTTCAAACATTATAAACTGTATTTCTGAGTGCTCAAAAGAACACAAGTAAAATGTTTAAAATTCAATTATGTTTACTATTATGCAAACAGATTTCATAGTCTGTTAGACGTACAATCAATGTCTCTGATAATGTATATGGAGATCACTACGCATTTTAATGGGACTAGATGACAAGAATGTTTTTGTTTTTTGTTGTGTTTAGTATTTTCTTTATTGATTTTCTTCAATAGACATATACAACACATTGAAAAAACAAACAAACAAAAAAACAATACATAACAATACACACAATCTCGGCACATAACTGTGTCTACCATTGTATATACTCAAATTATAAACCTAATTAGGCTGTTGTCCAGTTAGTCTATACTCAAATACGGGTTTTCCCAATGGATTATAAATAACAATCTATCTGCAGACATTCAATCTTTCATACCTAAGTCTATACATATGAATTTGGAATATAAAATCTATTTCAACGTAAGACAACACTTAACAAATATAATTTACATTAGTGTCTCATTAGGTGTCTCTGCCAGGGACAAATAATCTTCCCAACTTCCAATTGCCCCTTTCTCACTACCTTCATAAAGAGAAGGTAAAAGGATATAAAAATAAACAAGAGAGCAGTCAATATCTACTCAAAGAAAGCCTTTTTCAATTTCCTCTATTCTCTTAATCCATTTATCCCTATCCTCTCCCCCTTTAAAAACTTCTTTGAATTGATTAGAAATTCCCGATTGCATTTTGAGCTGTAATAGGGAAAGATTTATAACCATGGGCCAGGTGAGGGTTAGTAAAGATCTCCAGTACCTTGCTATTATTACTTTTGCTGCTACCAGAATATGAATAATTATGTGTTTTATATGTGTCAGCCATTTTTGGGGATCTATATGCAAGAGACAAACCTCTGGTTTACATCTAAATTTGAATTTGCATATTGTCGAAATTTTATTACATATGTTCCTCCAAAATATTTGAATTTGATCACATTGCCACCATATATGCATAAAGTCCCCTTTATATCTCTCACATCTCCAACACCTATCCCCCTCTCAGGAACCATCCTCATAATCCGTGACGTCACTAGGTACCATCGGTCAACCAAATTCAAACAGTGGATTGCTCTTTGTATTTTTCTAAAAGATCCCAACCAGCTCTCACAGGAGATTACTATAGATAAGTCTCCTTTCCATGTTTTAATAGCCAAAAAGGATACTTCAGGCTTACACTCTCTTAATAACTTTACAGATTTTAATATCATGTGTTTCATGTCCGCTTGTTCTAGCAGAGTTTCTAGATTTTTATGAATTTTAGAGTTATTCACAAGGAGATGTTTTTTTTTCAAATATACCTTTAATCTTAGCTAAGTAAAAAAAAACTAATTGTTAGGCAGGTTGTTTTCTTAACATAACTTGAAAGGCTTTATTTCTTTGTTGTTGAACAAATCATTAATTTTAGTTATTCCTGAGTCTAGACAATTTTTCAGATTTATATCTGGTATATTATTACCTATGTATTTTAAAGCCCTATTCATTAATATTTTGTTATTTATATTTAGGCTTTTCCTCAATTTATCCCAAATAAATTTAAGGTCCAGGATTATTAATGAACCTTCCAATACCCTTTTTTCTATATTGTTGGTACCCCAAAAAAATGGCACCTAAATCTTGTATGCCAGTTAATTCGTTTTCAATAGCATACCAACTTTATTTTTGCAAATCTTCTTTTTGGGTTGCGATTATTTTAACCCCTGTGAATTCTTGAAAATTACTAGTCTTTACACAAACGCAGAAAGATCAAAGATTTCATCAACTGCAGTTCCACACGAGTTATGTAATAACCTGTAGCTGTGGCCTTCAACATGTGGGACAAACAGATTGTAAAATAATTGTAAAATAACACATCCAGTATTACAAAAAAAACCACAAACAGAATCGGAATACGGCTGTATAATCTATAGAGAGAACATATAAAAGCAAAATAGTGTAATACTGGATGTGTTATTTTACAATCTGTTATATTGTATGTGATTTTATTACTGTTGCGGTCCCTGAAGAAGTTCTTATTTGAATGAAACGCGTTGGACCTATTGCCGCATACTTGTTTTTTATATTTATGGTGTGTTTCACCTTTTAAAAAATAAAATAATTGGATTATGATCATCACCCACTTGGAGTCCCAAGTACCACTGGCTACTTCGCATTGGCAAGGGGATTACTAGCCCCCCAGACCATCAGGGGAGGCACTTTATGAGCGCCCTTTTCTACATCATCTTGTGAGTGCATTTGCTAACAGCGCAAGATTGATTGTGCATACTGTATTACACTATTTTGCTTTTATATGTTCTCTCTATAGATTATACAGCCGTATTCCGATTCTGTTTGTGTTTTTTTTTGTAATAGTTAGTAGTCACCTAGGGAACAGTAATTAACAAATATTTGAGTGTGTAATGCCAAGTTGATTTTCTCATTTAAAATTATATTTCTAACATGCCTTCAACAAGTACTTGGTATCCTAAATGAATTCATCATTTAATGTGTGGTTATAAAACATTTAGAATGTGGTAACAATTGTCATATCTTTATTTCTTTATTCTATCAATAGGAGTAGACATAATGAGAGATCCCT